TGGTCCAATGGACCGGTTGGACCAACTGGCCTGTTGGTCTAGTGGACAAGTTGGACGATCTTGCCTGTTGGTCCAATGGACCGGTTGGACGAACTGGACTGTTGGTCCAATGGACCGGTTGGACCAACTCGCCTGTTGGTCCAATGGACCGGTTGGACCAACTGGCCTATTGGTCCAATGGACCGGTTGGACCAACTGGCCTGCTGGTCCAATGGACCGGTTGGACTGGCCTGTTGGTCCAATGGACCGGTTGGACGAGCTGGCCTGTTGGTCCAATGGACCGGTTGGACCAACTGGCCTGTTGGTCTAATGGAACTGTTGGACGAACTGGCCTGTTGGTCCAGTGGACAAGTTGGACGAACTTGCGTGTTGGTCCAATGGACCGGTTGGACAAACTGGCCTGTTGGTCCAATGGACCGGTTGGACCAACTCGCGTGTTGGTCCAATGGACCGGTTGGACCAACTGGCCTGTTGGTCCAATGGCCCGGTTGGACCAACTTGCCTGTTGGTCCAATGGACCAGTTGGACCAACTCGCCTGTTGGTCCAATGGACCGGTTGGACCAACTGGCATGTTGGTCCAATGGACCGGTTGGACCAACTGGCCTGTTGGTCCTATGGACCGGCTGGACAAACTGGCCTGTTTGTCCAATGGACCGGTTGGACCAACTACCCTATTGGTCCTATGGACCGGCTGGACCAACTGGCCTGATTGTCCAATGGACCGGTTGGACCAACTATCCTGTTGGTCCAATGGACCGGTTGGACCAGCTCGCTTGTTGGTCCAATGGACCGGTTGGACCAACTGGCTGCTTTGTCCAATGGACCGGTTGGACCAACTGGCCTGTTGGTCCGATGGACCCATTGGACGAACTGGCTTCTTGGTCCGATGGAACGGTTGAACCTGTTGCGATCAGAAGTTGATCGTACCTGGGATCACCTCAGGAAGGTTCGCACACGACTGAGTAGTGGTGGTGGGCCCGTGACCTCAATAGCAGAGTGAATATAAAATTCTTGAGATAATAAAAACATGCAAGTACAGCACTATAAATAAGAGTACAAGGGAATACCAATCGACCTAACTAGCCATGTACATTCCCTTATTACAGCGAAATCCAACCGTGCGACTCCAGACAGTTATGAAACTGTCTGGGCAGAGTCCTCTCCACTGCTGCTGCTTGATGCTGTCTGCCCGGCGGTCCAGATCCTTTCGTAACAGTGCGACCCTTCGCGTCACTTCCGTCCCTTCGCCTTCATTCTCGGTAGTGTGTGATTCGATTGCTGCGGTAAGGAGTGCACAGTGATACTTCAATAATCACTATTCGCAACACCCCCCTTCACTCCTGGTCGTAGCGAGTCTTGACCCGCTTGACTACTCCGCTGAGTTCGGAGCAGTGTTGGTATTGCTGACGTGACAGCTTCTGCGTGAGGAAGTCAGCTGCCATGTCACCCGTCGGGCAGTAGGTTAGGTCAACCTTGCCCTTGTCAACTTCGTCCTTGACGAAGAAGTTCCGCAGCGCGATGTGTTTGGTGCGGTTAACGAATCCTGGCTTGTTCGCCGAGGCTGGAATTTTCGCCTCCTGCAGCAGCTCCTGAAGGTAGAGGCCTTCGCGAACGGCTTCTGTTGCTGCGATAAATTCAGCCTCCGCTGATGACAGGGCAACCAGCTCCTGCTTCTGTGAATTCCAGTAGATGGGGCCGCTGGGCTCGAGGCGGAAAAGGAAGCATGTCTTGGACCGTCGATTGTCGGGGTCAGCGGCGTGATCAGCGTCCACGTAGCCGATGAGGTTGAAGGACGAGGTTGGGATGGTGGAGTAGCAGAGCCCAACATTGGGCGTGGAGATGAAGAACTGAAGTGCCCGCTGCAGATCTAGCAGATTCTCAGCCGTTGGTTTGCGGGAGTACTGAGCCAACTGGCTCGCGATGTAGGAGAGGTCGGGCCTGCAGGTAACAGATGCGAAGAGCAGGCATCCCAACTGCTGCTGGTAGGTGTGAAGCCCAGCAGGGGACAGGGCTTTGTTGTCAGGCTTGTGGTTGGGTCATGGAGTGCGGTAAGGGGTGGAGAGTGGTGCAGGCGCAATGTTGAAGCACTTGCTAAGCTCCTCTGCGTACTTGGCTGCTGAGAGATGAATGGCTTCCGGCGAGTAGGTGATGTTGAGCCCGAGAAACTGCTTCACGTCATGATTGCAGGTGATGTCGACGCGCCCTGCGAAGTTTTTCTCGAATTGCTCAAGCAACTCGTTGCTTGACCCTGTGTATAGGAGGTCGTCGACGTAGACCGTGAGTAGGATGTATTCGCCGCGGAAATCGCGGCGATACATCCTAGGATCGTGAGGCAACTGCTTGAACCCGATTTCGAGCAGGATGTTGTGCAGATACTGCTGCCAGAGCCGTGGTGCCTGTTTGATCCCGTAAAGGGATTTTCGCAGCTGGCAGACACGTGAATCCCCCTCGCCGTATGCGTGCGGCTGCTCCACGTAGATCACTGCATCTACTAGCGCGTACAGGAACGCATTCTTCACATCGATTTGTCGAAGCGGGAGGTGTCGTGCTGCAGCGATGGCGAGAAAAATCCTGACGGAGGTGTGGCGGCTGACCGGTGCCGAAGTCAATGCCGTGCCTCTGATCGTAGCCGCGCACTACCCAGCGCGCCTTGAATCGCTCGATCGTGCCGTCAGCTGCGGTCTTCACGCGGAAGACCCACTTCCCGGAGAGAATCCTCCTCCCCTTGATCGCCGCTCGATTGACGAGCACCCAGGTGTCACGGGATTCAAGTGCCTTGATTTCCGCATCCATTGCTTCCCGCCATTCCTTGCTGTGAGGTCCCGTGAGTGCTTGGCGCGGATTCTGCGGCTCGATGACACGTGGCGCCGTTCAGGTGGCAGTGTGGAGCCCGAGGAGCTGGAGTCCGGTGACGGTGCTATCATGGCGGTGCTGTGGAGTGACTTCCTGCACGTCGTCGTCATCGCTCTCAGGATCAGGCGGTGCTGGTGGTGCTGCGCCTCCGCCGTTTCCGCCTCTGCTTCCGCTTCCGCCTCCTGCGCCTGCTCCTCCTCCAGGAGAATCGTCGTCGTCGTCGTTGTTGCGATCGCCTCTCGTGAACTCGTGTCGGAGAACCTTCCTTCTCCCAGCCCATGCTCTGCTCCTCGCACCTACTCTTCTCCCTGCTCCTGCTCTTCTTCCTGCACCTGCTCTTCTCCTGCTGTCTCTCTGCTTCCTCCCTTCTCCATGTTGCAAAGCCTCACTCAACCGCTGCCCCCCCTTCTGTGCTCGTGCTCTAGCTGCTTGAGCTCGTGTCACAGGACCCTCTTGGAGATGCCTCACTCGTACCACCGCCCCCTCCTCTGTTTCCTCCCATGGCCTGCCCTCTCCTCCCGGCACTCATCCTCCCTCCCTTCTTCCCTCTGCCCTGTTCCCGTGATACCTTCCCTTCTCTGCCTCAGCCACCACATTGAACGAGTTTCCTCCCTCACCCCGTAGGTCCTCCCCTAGTGGCGTGCCACCGGATGCTAGATCAGAGGTAACAGCTTTCCACTAATATGAGAGAATAACAGCACGAAAGCATCGAGGGGTTGGCTGTGACTGCCCTTACCCAACCCCAAGCTGCACATTCCCAAAAGTGCGGCTCGGGGTTGGGACTGCTTGGCTTCCTATTTCGCCCTTCGGTGCCTTTTCCCTCGCAATCCCAACCGCTCTCATCCAATTTCCCCCTTTCTACACCCCTCCCTAACAGTAACTTTCCTACGTTCTACACCTACAACTGATTCCTAACTAATACTCTTATAACTAGCTAATGTTCCCATAACAGCCACTACAAGTCCCCCTTACACCATCATCCTACTGTTATTGCATATGCATTAGGTGCATATGCGGTGACAGCTGTCGGAGAACCTTCCTTCTCCCAGCCCATGCTCTGCTCCTCGCACCTACTCTTCTCCCTGCTCCTGCTCTTCTTCCTGCACCTGCTCTTCTCCTGCTGTCTCTCTGCTTCCTCCCTTCTCCGTGTTGCAAAGCCTCACTCAACCGCTGCCCCCATTTCTGTGCTCGTGCTCTAGCTGCTTGAGCTCGTGTCACAGGACCCTCTTGGAGATGCCTCACTCGTACCACTGCCCCCTCCTCTGTTTCCTCCCATGGCCTGCCCTCTCCTCCCGGCACTCATCCTCCCTCCCTTCTTCCCTCTGCCCTGTTCCCGTGATACCTTCCCTTCTCTGCCTCAGCCACCACATGCCCCCTCCAGAGCTCGTGCTCGGGTCTCCCGTGCACGAGGCACTGGACACTCTTGCTGAGGCCGGGGTACTTCTCACCACTGCAGTATTGGTGGTCCCCTGTCTTCTCTCTTCGCCCACTCTCTGACACAGCACTCCCGCCCCCTCAGATTCGTCGCCCTCCTTCTCTGTGTGCCCAGCACCACTTCCTGTTCCAGAGTATCCTTCTGTCCCCCCGAGGGGTAGACTTCCTGTCTCACTCCTTCTGCCGCCCTTGTGCTTGGTGCAGCCCTGCTGCAGCCGCTCCTCTGGCCTGTGTGCATCTCTCAGCTGCACTGTCTGTAAGTTCTCCCGTGCTGCCGGCAGTCCTTCCTTCAGGTACCTTGCCCTGGTTTCTACCAATGCCACGCCATTCTCCACCCCTCCTGTTCCCACTGTCTGTGTCACGAGTGTGACCTCCCTCCCCTGCCCGCTCATTGCCCCCCCCCCACCGTCCACTTAGATCCTTCCTTTGCAGTCCACCCTGCCCATCCTCCCTCCTCATCCTCCACTCCCGCCTCCGCTGCTGCTGCTACACACTCAGGTGCCCCTACTTTCTCTTCCTTCCCTTCCTCTTCTTCTGCTGCTGCTCCACACGCCTGAGTCTCCAAATTCTCTTCTTTCCCTTCCTTTTCTGCTGCTGCTGCTGCACACGTCTGTGTCCCCAACGTCTCTTCCTTCCTTTCCTCTTCTGCTGCTGCCGCTGCACACGCCTCTGCCCCAACTTCTCTCCTTCCCTTCCTCTTCTGCTGCTGCTACTACACACGCCTGTGCCCCCCAAATTCTCGTCTTTCCCTTCCTCTTCTGCTGCTGCTACTGCACACGCCTGTGCCCCCAACCTCGCTTCTTTCCCTTCCTCTTCTGGTGCTGCTACTGCACACGCCTGTGCCCCCCAGCTTCTCTTCTTTCCTTTCCTCTTCCGTTTCCGCTGCTGCTGCTGCGCACGCCTGTGCTCTCTCCTTCTCTTCCCTCCCTGCCGCTTCTGCTACTTCTGGTTTGCACGCCTGTGCCCCCACCTTCACTGCCCCGCTTTCCGCTTCCGCTACTGCTGTCATGCACGCCTGTGCCCCCACCTTCACTGCCCCGCTTTCCGCTTCTGCTACTGCTGTCATGCCCGCCTGTGCCCCCACCTTCACTACCCCGCTTTCCGCTTCCTCTACTGCTGTCATGCCCGCCTGTGCCCCCACCTTCACTGCCCCGCTTTCCGCTTCCGCTACTGCTGTCATGCCCGCCTGTGCCCCCACCTTCCCTTCCCTCCCTTCCGCTTCTGCTGCCACTGGTACACCCGACCATGCCCCCACCTTCTCGTTCTTCCCTCCCGCTTCCGCCGCTGCTAATGCACACGCTTCTGCCCCCACCTGCTCGTCCCGCTCCTCCGCTCCTGCTGCTGCTGGCACGCACGCTTCTGCCCCCACCTGCTCATCCCGCTCCTTCGCTCCTGCTGCTGCTGGGACGCACTCTTCTGCCCCCACCTGCTCATCCCGCTCCTTCGCTCCTGCTGCTGCTGGTACGCACGCTTCTGCCCCCACCTGCTCATCCCGCTCCTCCGCTCCCGCTGCTGCTGATACGTACGCTTCTGACCCCACCTGCTCATCCCACTCCTCCGCTCCCGCTGCTGCTGGTACGCACGCTCCTGCCCCCGCCTGCTCGTCCTGCTCCTCTGCTCCCGCTGCTGCTGGTGTTACTGACTTACACGCCCATGCCCCCACCTTACTCACTAGCTCCCTTCGTATATCCCTTCCCCCACTGCACAGCCACATGTCTGCATGGCCACGCAGCACCGCACCGGAGTGTTCTGGCTCCTGCCCCTCTTCCTCCTCCGCGTACAACCCCGCTTGCCCCTGAGTTCTTTCTCCCAGTGCGTGCAGTTGGGCTCGTAACTGTTCGATCTGTTCCTCGATCTCCTTGGGTGATCTCCTTGCATCCCTTCCTTTCTCATAGCAGTTTCTTGCCCGATTCCCACACACCTCACAGCTCGGTGCATCTGGGCAGTCCCTCTGTCGGTGCCCAGGCTTTCCGCACACATCACAGTTCTTGCACTCCCTCCTGATATGCCCCTCCTGCCCGCACCTGTGGCACGTCCGTGTTTCGGCTCGCCTCTCCTGCCACTGCTCCTCCCCACCCCCGTCCTCGGTTATCATCGCTGCAGCCCACCTGGGCCGCCCTTTCTCTAACACCCTCGGCAGGTACGCCTCATACCGCCTCTGCGCCAGCTCCACTCTCTCTGCCAACTCAAACACCTCCTCCAGCGTTGCTTCAGCTCCCAACTCATACACTCTCATTCTCAGCCCGCCGCTCAATCCCTCATCCAGACCCCCCAGGAACTTGCTTATAAGCATGCTGCCATCTGTGCACACCACGTCTTCCGCCAGATCCGTCAACCTACCGTAGTAGGTGAGCAGTGACTCGGCCCTCCCTCGCTGGAATTCCTGAAATTCTCTCACCCTCTCCGCCGTGTGCCCTGGAAACTGCTTCCGCAGCCGCTCTAGGAACAGAGTGGTTGGGTCCTCATCCTCCTCCTCTGCCCTCCTCAGCCATTCCTTCATCTTCATACGATATAGCGTCTCAGCTTCGCCTCCCAGCGTGTTCGGTGGGCTCAAGAAAAACTCTTTCGGGTCCATCCCACTCCTGTCACAGCGGTACTTCACATTACCGATTTGCATCAGGTAATTCTTCAGGTTTGTCTCTGACCCTGCTCCCCCCGTAAAGCGCACTGGCACCTCCACCTGAGGTGGGGCCTGCGCACTCCACCTCCCTGTCTCCCAAGTCCCTGAGCTCTCATTCCTCCTGCTACTCTCTCCTCTCCTCTCCCTCAACTCTCTGCTTCTTGACTCTGTCCCATACAGCACTCGACCACTTCCTTCCCTGGCTGCCCTTGCCCCCGTAGCGCCTACCCATGACTGCTGCCGCCTTCTCCGCCACGTCGGACCTATGCTCCTTCCCCCCTCTCTCTCTTGAGCCTCCCCATATCTCTCCGATCCCCACCCTGGTCTCTCCCTCTTCTCCGGGGAATGTTCTTTCCAACGCCCCTCCCTTCGGCCCGACCTGTGGCGCGTAGGTCCGTCACACTCTCCTTCGTCCTCACTCTCCGTTTCATGCGCAAGCATCATTTCCCGTCGCCTACTCTGCTTCTCTTCACCCCTTTTCCTTGTTCCCCTGCTGCCCGAGCTTGCCCCATACAGCGCCCGTTCTGTCCCCTCTCTGGCCGCTCTGGCTCCTTCGGATCCTCCTCCTGATTGCCATCGCCCCCTCGGGCCCCTTGTACTCGGACTCCTTCCTCGCTCTCTCTCGTAAGCCGCTCTCCGCTTCTCTGCTCCGTCCCACCGCCTTTCCTTCCCATCATGCGAGTGCTCCTGATACCGCCTTTCTCGCTCCACGTCTTCCCGCCGCCGTCGGTTCCCTCTCCCCCTTTCTTCTGCCCTTGTTGCGCCCAGCGATCGTCGTGCACCCTCCCTGATGCGTCCCTCCTCACGCCCCCCTCCTCTCTCTGGTGAGCACCACCCATCTCTTTCCTCACAATCCCCTCGCTCCCCGTCCGGACCTGCTCGTCTGCCCCGTTCTTCCTCTGGCTTACTCTCCCGTCGCCCACGTTGCTCCTCAACTCTCTCTCTCTCTCTCTCTCTCTCTCTCTCCCCCAAACAGCAGGCCCCCGTTGACCTGCCACTCTCCCTCGCTCATACTGCTCCCTCCGCACCTCTGGCGATCGCCGCGCGGCCATCGCCACGCGTCTCCTCCCACGTCCTCGCAGCTCAGGCGAGCTGTACCGTCCCGTTGGCGCATGGTTTTTCCTGCTGTCCTCCCGAAGATCGTCCGGCGAGCGACCTGCCGCTGCGGTTCCGCGGCGCCTCGCATCTCCCTCGCGCACCTCCTATGGCGAACGATCTGCCGCCATGTTCCCTTGGCGCCTCCCGCCACTCCCGCGCATCCGTTCTGGCGAGCTGTCTGCATCCGCTCTCCCGCGGCGCCTTGCGCTGCCACCTCGCATTTCGTCTGCCGAGCGACCTGCATCCTTGCCTCCGCAGTGCCTCACGCTGTTTCCACCTATTTCGTCCACCGTACCATCTGCATCCGCGCCCCCGCGCCCTTCGTCTGCCAACCCGTCTGCATTCGCGCCCCCGCGGTGCCTCGCGCCCTCTTCACGCCCTTCGTCTGCCAATCCGTTTGCATCCGTGCTTCCGCAGCGCCTCACGCTTCCCCTGCGCATGTCTTCCGGCGAACGCCCTGTCGTCATGTTCCCGTGACGCTTCGCACCGCCTCCGCGCATCCTTACCGGCGAGCAATTTCCTCCCGCATCCTTGCTCTCTCCGTCGCGCCCTTCTTCCGCCACTTCCTCCCTCTCACCATCCCGCGCCATCGGGATGGCGCCGTCTGCTTCTTCCGCGCCGTCTGTTTCTCCCGCGCCGTCTGCTCCTTCCACGCCGTCCGCTTCTTCCGCGCCGTCTGCTTCTTCCGCGCCGTCTGCTTCTTCCGCGCAGTCTGCTTCTTCCGCGCCGTCTGCTTCTTCCGCGCCGTCTGCTTCTTCCGCGCCGTCAGCCTCGCTTGCCGAATCGGACGAATCTACTAATATGAGAAAATAACAGCACGAAAGCATCGAGGGGTTGGCTGTGACTGCCCTTACCCAACCCCAAGCTGCACATTCCCAAAAGTGCGGCTCGGGGTTGGGACTGCTTGGCTTCCTATTTCGCCCTTCGGTGCCTTTTCCCTCGCAATCCCAACCGCTCTCATCCAATTTCCCCCTTTCTACACCCCTCCCTAACAGTAACTTTCCTACGTTCTACACCTACAACTGATTCCTAACTAATACTCTTATAACTAGCTAATGTTCCCATAACAGCCACTACAAGTCCCCCTTACACCATCATCCTACTGTTATTGCATATGCATTAGGTGCATATGCGGTGACATGGCCAAATGGACTAGTTGGACCAACTGGCCTGTTGTTCCAGTGGTCTGGTTGGACCAAATGGCCTGTTGGTCCAGTGCACCGGTTGGACCAACTAGCATGTTGGTCCAAAGGACCAGTTGGTCCAACTGGCATGTCGGTCCATTGCCGGTTTGACCAACTGGCCAGTTGGTCCAATGGTGACTGGTTGGACCAACTGGCCTTTTGGTCCACTGGACCGGTTGGACCAACTGGCCTGTTGGTACTGTGGACCGGTTGGATCAATTGGCCTGTTGGTCCAATGGACCAGTTCGACAAAATGGCATGTTGGTCAAATGGACCCGTTGAACCAACTGACCTGTTGGTCCAATGGACTGGTTGGACCAACTTGCTAGTTGGCCCAGTGGACCGGCTGGACCAACTGGCGTGTTGGCCCAGTGGACAGGTGGACCAACTAGCCTGTTGGTCTAGTGGACCGACTGGCGTGTTGGTCCACAGGACAGGTTGGACCAACTGGCATGTTGGTCCACTGGACCTTTTGGACCAACTGGCCTGTTGGCCTAATGGACTGGTTGGACCAACAGGCCTGTTGGTCCATTGGACCCATTGGACCAACTGGCCCGTTGGTCCAATGGACCAGTTGGACCAACTGGCCTGTTGGTCCAATGGACCGGTGGACCAACTCGCCTGTTGGTCCAAGGGACCGGTTGGACCAACTGGCGTGTTGGTATAATGCCGGTTGGTCCAACTGGCGTGTTGGTCCGCTGGACAGGTTGGACCAACTGGCCTGTTGGTCTAATGGACCGGTTGGACCATCTGGCCTGTTAGTCCACTTGACCAGTTGGACCAACTGGCATGTTGGTCCAATTGACCGGTTGGACCAACAGGCGTGTTGGTCCAATGGACCGGTTGGACCAACTGGCGTGTTGGTCCGCTGGACAGGTTGAACCAACTAACCTGGTGGTCCACTGGACCGCTTGGACCAACTGGCCTGTTGGTCCAGTGGACCGGGTGAACCAATTGGCCTGTTGGTCCAATGGACCGGTTGGACCAACTGGCCTGTTGGTCCACTGGACCGGTTGGACGAACTGGCCTGTTGGTCCAATGGACCAGTTGGACCAACTGGCCTGTTGGTCCAATGGACCGGTTGGACCAACTGGCATGTTGGTCCAATGGACCGGTTGGACCAACTGGCCTGTTGGTCAAATGGACCAATTGGACCAACTGGCCTGCCCATTGGACCAACTGGCCTGTTGGTCCAGTGGACCGATTGGACCAACTAGCCTGTTGGTCCAGTGGACCGGCTGGACCAATTGGCCTGCTGGTCCAATGGACCGGTTGGACAAACTGGCCTGTTGGTGCCATGGACCGGTTGGACGAACTGGCCTGTTGGCCCAATGGACCGGTTGGACCAACTGGCCTGTTGGTCCAATGGACCGGTTGGACCAACTGGCCTGTTGGTCCAATGGACCGGTTGGACCAACTGGCCTGTTGGTCCAACCGGTCCATTTGACCAACAGGCCTGTTGGTCCAGTGGACCAGTTGGACCAACTGGCATGTTGGTCCACTGGACCGATTAGACCAACTGGCCTGTTGGTCCAGTGGACCGATTGGACCAACTAGCCTGTTGGTCCTGTGGACCGGTTGGACCAACTGGCCTGCTGGTCCAATGGACCGGTTGGACCAACTGGTCTGTTGGTCCAATGGATCGGTTGGACCAACTGGCCTGTTGGTCCAATGGACCGGTTGGACCAACTGGCCTGTTGGTCCAATGGACCGGATGGACCAACTGGCCTGTTGGTCAAATGGACTGGTTGGACCAACTGGCCTGTTGGTCCAGTGGACCAGTTGGACCTACTGGCATGTTGGTCCAATGGACCGGTTGGACCAACTGGCTTGTTGGTCCAGTGGACCGATTGGACCAACTGGCCTGCCCATTGGACCAACAGGCCTGTTGGTCTAGTGGACCGATTGGACCAACTAGCCTCTTGGTCCAGTGGACCGGTTGGACCAACTGGCCTGCTGGTCCAATGGACCGGTTGGACCAACTGGCCTATTGGTCCAATGGACCGGTTGGACCAACTGGCCTGTTGGTCCAATGGACCGGTTGTACCAGCTGGCCTGTTGGTCCACAGGATCAGTTGCACCAACTGGCCTGTTGGTCCAATGGACTGGTTGGTCCAACTGGCATGTTGGTCCAATGCCGGTTGGACCAACAAGCCTGTTGGTCTGCTGGACAGGTTGGACCAACTGGCCTGTTGGTCCAGTGGACCGGTTGGACCAACTGGCATGTTGGTCCACTGGACCGATTTAACCAACTGGCCCATTGGTCCAATGGACCTTTTGGACCATCTGGCATGTTGGCCCAATGGACTGGTTGGACCAACAGGCCTGTTGGTCCATTGGACCCGTTGGACAAACTAGCTTGTTGGTCCAATGGACCGGTTGGGCCATTTGGCCAGTTGGTCCACTAGACCGGTTGGACCAACTGGCATGTTGGTCCAATGGACTGGTTGGACCAACTGGCCTTGTTGTCCAATAGACCGGTTGGACCAACTGGCCTTTCGGTCCAATGGACCGGTTGGACCAACTGGCCTTTTGGTCCACTGGACCGGTTGGACCAACTAGCCTTTTGGTCCAGTTGACCGGTTGGCCCAATTGGCATGTTTGTCCAATGGACCGGTTGGTCCAACTGGCCTGTTGGCCCAATGCCGGTTGGACCAACAGGCCAGTTGGTCCAATGGACTAGTTGGACAAACTGTTGGTCCACTGGACCGGTTGGACCAACTGGCCTGTTGGTCCAGTGGACCGGTTGGACCAACTGGCCTGTTGGTCCAATGGACCAGTTGGTCCAACTGGCCTGTTGGTCCAATGCCGATTGGACCAACTGTCCTATTGGTCCAATGGTGACTGGTTGGACCAACTGGCCTTTTGGTCCACTTGACCGGTAAGACCAACTAGCCCGTTGGTCAAGTGGACCGGTTGGACCAACTGGCATGTTGGTCCAATGGACCGGTTGGTCCAACTGGCCTGTTGGTCCGCTGGACTGGTTGGACCAACCGGCCTGTTGGTCCAGTGGACCGGTTAGACCAACTGGCCTGTTGGTCCACTGCACCGATTGAACCTACTGGCCTATTGGTCCGCTAGACCAATTGAACCAACTAGCATATTGGTCCAGTGGACCGATTGAACCAACTGGCCTGTTGGTCCAGTGGACCGGTTGGACAAACTGGCCTGTCGGTCCAGTGGACCGGTTGGACAAACTGGCCTGTTGGTCAAATGGACACATTGGACCAACTGGCATGTTGGTCCAATGGACCTGTTGGACCAACTGGCTAGTTGGACTGTTTTCCCAGTGGACAGGTGGACAAACTGGCCTGTTAATCTAGTGGACCGACTGGCGTGTTGGTCCACTGGACCGATTGGACCAACTGGCCTATTGGTCCAATGGACCTTTTGGACCATCTGGCCTGTTGGCCAAATGGACTAGTTGGACCAACTGGCCTGTTGGGTGGACCGGTTGGACCAAATGGCCTGTTGGTCCAGGAGACCGGTTGGACCAACTAGCATGTTGGTCCAATGGACCAGTTGGTCCAACTGGCATGTCGGTCCAATGCCGGTTTTACCAACTGGCCAGTTGGTCCAATGGTGACTGGTTGGACCAACTGGCCTTTTGGTCCATTGGACCGGTTGGACCAACTGGCCTGTTGGTACTGTGGACCGGTTGGATCAATTGGCCTGTTGGTCCAATGGACCAGTTCAACAAAATGGCATGTTGGTCAAATGGACCCGTTGAACCAACTGACCTGTTGGTCCAATGGACTGGTTGGACCAACTGGCTAGTTGGCCCAGTGGACCGGCTGGACCAACTGGCGTGTTGGCCCAGTGGACAGGTGGACCAACTAGCATGTTGGTCTAGTGGACCAACTGGCGTGTTGGTCCACAGGATAGGTTGGACCAACTGGCATGTTGGTCCACTGGACCTTTTGGACCAACTGGCCTGTTGGCCTAATGGACTGGTTGGACCAACAGGCCTGTTGGTCCATTGGACCCATTGGACCAACTGGCCTGTTTGTCCAGATGATCGGTTGGACCATTTGGCCTGTTGGTCTACTGGACCGGTTGGACCAACTGGCCCGTTGGTCCAATGGACCAGTTGGACCAACTGGCCTGTTGGTCCAATGGACCGGTGGACCAACTCGCCTGTTGGTCCAATGGACCGGTTGGACCAACTGGCGTGTTGGTATAATGCCGGTTGGACCAACTGGCGTGTTGGTCCGCTGGACAGGTTGGACCAACTGGCCTGTTGATCTAATGGACCAGTTGGACCATCTGGCCTGTTAGTCCACTTGACCAGTTGGACCAACTGGCCTGTTGGTCCAATTGACCGGTTGGACCAACTGGCGTGTTGGTCCAATGGACCGGTTGGACCAACTGGCGTGTTGGTCCGCTGGACAGGTTGAACCAACTAGCATGTTGGTCCACTGGACCACTTGGACCAACTGGCCTGTTGGTCCGGTGGACCGGGTGAACCAATTGGCCTGTTGGTCCAATGGACCGGTTGGACCAACTAGCCTGTTGGTCCACTGGACCGGTTGGACCAACTGGCCTGAAGGTCCAATGGACCGGTTGGACCAACTTGCCTGTTGGTCCAATGGACCGGTTGGACCAACTGGCCTGTTGGTCCAATGGACCGGTTGGACCAACTGGCCTGTTGGTCCAGTGGACCGGTTGGACCAACTGGCCTGTTGGTCAGTTGGACAGGTTGGACCAACTGGCCTGTTGGTCCAGTGGACCGGTTGGACCAACTGGCCTGTTGGTCCAATGGACCGGTTGGACCAACTGGTCTGTTGGTCCAATGGACCGGTTGGACCAACTGGCCTGTTGGTCCAATGGACTGGTTGGACCAACTGGCCTATTGGTCCAGTGGACCGGTTGGACCAACTGGCCTGTTGGTCCAGTGGACCGGTTGGACCAACTGGCCTGTTGGTCTAGTGGACCAACTGGCTTGTTGGTCCAATGGACCCATTGGACCAACTTGTGTGTTGGTCTAGTGGACCGTTTGGACCAACTGGCCTGCTGGTCCAATAGACCCATTGGACCAACTGGCTTGCTGGTCCAATGGACCGGTTGGACGAACTGGCCTGTTGGTCCAATGGACCGGTTGGACCAACTGGGCTGTTGGTCAAATGGACCGGTTGGACCAACTGGCCTGTTGGTCCAGTGGACCGGTTGGACCAACTGGCCTGTTGGTCCAATGGACCGGTTGGACCAACTGACCTGTTGGTCCAATGGACCGGTTGGACCAACTGGCCTGTTGGTCAAATGGACCGGTTGGACCAACTGGCCTGTTGGTCTGCTGGACAGGTTGGACCAACTGGCCTGTTGGTCCAGTGGACCGGTTGGACCAACTGGCATGTTGGTCCACTGGACCGATTAGACCAACTGGCCTGTTGGTCCAGTGGACCGATTGGACCAACTCGCCTGTTGGTCCTGTGGACCGGTTGGACCAACTGGCCTGCTGGTCCAATGGACCGGTTGGACCAACTGGCATGTTGGTCCAATGGACCGGTTGCACCAACTGGCCTATTGGTCCAATGGACCGGTTGGTCCAACTGGCCAGTCGGTCCAATGCTGGTTGGACCAACTGGCCTGTTGGTCTGCTGGATAGGTTGGACCAACTGGCTTGTTGGTCCAGTGGACCGGTTGGACCAACTGGCATGTTGGTCCACTGGACCGATTGAACCAAGAGGCCTATTGGTCCAGTTGACCGATTGAACCAACTGGCCTGTTGATCCAGTGGACCGGTTGGACAAACTGGCCTGTTGGTCAAATGGACACATTGGACCAACTGGCCTGTTGGTCCAATGGACCGGTTGGACCAACTGGCTAGTTGGCCCAGTGGACCGGTTGGATCAACTGGCCTGTTGGCCTAGTGGACAGGTGGACAACCTGGCCTGTTAATCTAGTGGACCGACTGGCGTGTTGGTCCACTGGACCGATTGGACCAACTTGCCTATTGGTCCAATGGACCTTTTGGACCATCTGGCCTGTTGGCCCAATGGACTAGTTGGACCAACTGGCCTGTTGGTCCATTGGACCCGTTGGACCAACTGGCCTGTTGGTCCAATGGACCGGTTGGACCATTTGGCCTGTTGGTCCACTAGACCGGTTGGACCAACTAGCATGTTGGTCCAATGGACTGGTTGGACCAACTGGCCTTGTTGTCCAATAGACCGGTTGGACCAACTGGCCTTTTGGTCCAATGGACTGGTTGGACCAACTGGCCTTTTGGTCCACTGGACCGGTTGGACCAACTGGCCTTTTGGTCCAGTGGACCTGCTGGCTCAACTAGCATGTTGGTCCAATGGATCGGTTGGTCCAACTGGCCTGTTGGCCCAATGCCGGTTGGACCAACAAGCCAGTTGGTCCAATGGACTAGTTGGACAAACTGGCCTGTTCGTCCACTGGACCAGTTGGACCAACTGGCCTGTTGGTCCAGTGGACCGGTTGGACCAACTGGCCTGTTGGTCCAATGGACCAGTTGGTCCAACTGGCCTATTGGTATAATGCCAGTTGGACCAACTGACCTGTTGGTCAAGTGGACCGGTTGGACCAACTGGCATGTTGGTCCAATGGACTGGTTGGTCCAACTGGCCTGTTGGTCCGCTGGACTGGTTGGACCAACTGGCCTATTGGTCCAGTGGACCGGTTGGACCAACTGGCCTGTTGGTCCACTGGACCGATTGAACCAGCTGGCCTATTGGTCCACTAGACCAATTGAACCAACAGGCATATTGGTCCAGTGGACCGATTGAACCAACTGGCCGTCCAGTGGACCGGTTGGACAAACTGGCCTGTTGGTCCAGTGGACTGGTTGGACAAACTGGCCTGTTGGTCAAATGGACACATTGGACCAACTGGCCTGTTGGTCCATTGGACTTGTTGGACCAACTGGCTAGTTGGACTGTTGGCCCAGTGGACAGGTGGACCAACTGGCCTGTTAATCTAGTGGACCGACTGGCGTGTTGGTCCACTCGACCGATTGGACCAACTGGCCTATTGGTCCAATGGACCTTTTGGACCATCTGGCCTGTTGGCCCAATGGACTAGTTGGACCAACTGGCTTGTTGGTCCACTGGACCGGTTGGACCAAAAGGCCGGTTGGTTCAGTGGACCGGTTGGACCAACTAGCATGTTGGTCCAATGGACCAGTTGGTCCAAGTGGCATGTTGGTCCAATGCCGGTTGGACCAACTGGCCAGTTGGTCCAATGGTGACTGGTTGGACCAACTAGCCTTTTGGTCCACTGAACCGGTTGGACCAACTGACCTGTTGGTCCTGTGGACCAGTTGGATCAATTGGCCTGTTGGTCCAATGGACCAGTTCGACAAATGGCATGTTTTTCAAATGGACCCGTTGAACCAACTGGCCTGTTGGTCCAATGGACTAGTTGGACCAACTGGCGTATTGGCCCAGTGGACAGGTGGACCAACTAGCTTGTTGGTCTAGTGGACCGACTGGCGTGTTGGTCCACAGGAACTTTTGGACCAACTGGCCTATTGGCCTAATGGACTGCTTGGACCAACAGGCCTGTTGGTACATTGGACCCATTAGACCAACTAACCTGTTTGTCCAATGGACCGGTTGGACCATTTGGCCTGTTGGTCAACTGGACCGGTTGGACCAACTGGCCTGTTGGTTAAATGGACCGGTTGGACCAACTGGCCTGTTGGTCAAGTGGACCAGTTGGACCAACTGGCCTGCTGGTCCAATGGACCGGTTGGACCAATTGGCCTGTTGGTCCAATGGACCGGTTGGACCAACTGGACTGTTGGTCCAATGGACCAGTTGGACCAGCTGGCCTGTTGGTCCACTGGACCGGTTGCACCAACTGGCCTGTTGGTCCAATGGACCGGTTGGTCCAACTGGCTGTCGGTCCAATGCCGGTTGGACCAACTGGCCTGTTGGTCTGCTGGACAGGTTGGACCAACTGGCCTGTTGGTCCAGTGGACCGGTTTGACCAGCTGGCATGTTGGTCCACTGGACCGATTGAACCAACAGGCCTATTGGTCCAGTTGACCGATTGAACCAACTGTGTCGGAGAACCTTCTTCTTCATCCTGCACCTGCTCTTCTTCCTGCCCCTGCTCTTCATCTTGCACTTGCTCTTCTTCCTGTCCTAGTCCTGCTCCTGCCGGCTCTCCCGTTTCTTCCTGTTCCCTTGTGTCCAGCCTCACTCACCGAGTCTCGTCCCCCACCCTGTAGGTTCCCTCTTAGTGTCGTGCTGTCGTGTGCTAGAGCGTGAGACAACCACATTCACTAGTTCGAGAGAATTACACACTAGAAAGCAAGGAGGGGATGGTAGGGAGCAGCCTATGACCCCACCCAAGGCTGCACGTTTCCACATGTTCGGCTCGGGTGGGGTGTTACCAGCTTTGGCAGGTTTCGCCTGTTGAGGCCTTTTCCCTCCCAAATCCAACCGCCACGATCCCATTTCCCCCCTTCTACACCCTTTCCCAACAGTAACCATATTTCCCCCTACACCCATTCCTACTTGTTGTTTCACATACATATAACTAACTCATCATCCTATCATTGTCATGTCAAGCCCACCCTGTTCCATCCTTCTACTGTTGTTGCATATGCATCACATGCATATGCGGTGACAGCTGTCGGAGAACCTTCTTCTTCATCCTGCACCTGCTCCTCTTCCTGCCCCTGCTCTTCATTTTGCACTTGCTCTTCTTCCTGTCCTAGTCCTGCTCCTGCCGGCTCTCCCGTTTCTTCCTGTTCCCTTGTGTCCAGCCTCACTCACCCACTGCCCTCTCCTGTGCTCGTGCTCTAGCTGCCTGGGCCCGAGTCACAGGACCCCCTGTGTGAGGCTTGCTCCCCCTTACCACGGCCGTGTTGCTCTGGTGCTCCTTCAGGAGTGTCCCTGTATCGTTTTCCAGAACCAACACCCCCGAGGGACGGACCTCCTTCACCCTCCACCTCTCCGCGCCCACTCCAACATCCAGCGTGTCTTGCTTTGCCCGCTTCAGGTACACTTCCTGTCCCGTGCTCACCCCCTTCCTGGGTCTGCCCCCCGCCCCTTGCTGCTGCCTCTGTTCATATCTCCGAGCATCCCGCAGCTGAGCGGTGTGAAGATTCTCTAAGGCCGCTGGCATCATCACTCGGAGGTATCTCGCCCTGGCCTCGGACAGCGCCACCCAGTTCCCTATCGTCCCTGCAGTCACCGTATCTGTGAGGACACGTGCTGCTCCCACTGGCAGCAGCGGCTCACACCCGTATAGGAGACTATAAGGGGAGTGATCTCTCAGCGCCGCTTGCTTCCCGAACCGATACCCCGCCGCTATCCAATGTAGCTCCTCGTCCCAGTCCCGCTTCCTCTTCTCCCCGTACGCCCGCAGCCCCCGCTTCAGTGTCTGCACCAGTCGCTCAGTCAGCCCGTCGCTCTGTGGGTGGTACCGCGATGTGCGCCTGTGCGTGATCCCTGTCTCCTCCAGCAGTTTCTTAAACTCCCCCTGGAACTCTGTCCCTTGGTCTATGAGGACCTCCGCACATGCCCCAAACCTGCACACCACCTGTTCTTTGAACGCTGCTGCCACATGTCTTGAGCTTTTACTCGGGATCGCTCTCACCTCTAGCCACTTGCTCACATGCTCAACCATGAGCACTATGTACTGCTTCCCTCCCCGGCTCAGTGGCAGCTCCCCCGCGAGATCTAAGGACCATCGGAAGCCTAGTCCTCTGATGGGCAGCGACTGCAGCTCCGCCTTGGCTTGGGAGAGGTTGGCTCGGCTCCTCTGGCATGCCTCACAGCCCTCCACCCACTCCTTCACTTGCCTCCGCATCCCCTCCCACCACCAGCCGGTCTTCAACAGCTGCACCGTCCTCTCGTGCCCAAAGTGCCCCAGCTTGTTGTGGACCTCCTTAATCACCGCTTCTCTCTCGCTCAGGGCCGGCACCAGCTTCCATCCGTCCTCTGTCTGCACCTGCAGCTGCTGCTGGTACCACCTGTAGTGCTGGCCCCTTGCCCTCACTCGTGCGGGCAGTGCTTCGTCCTCTCCCGTCTCTCCCTTCACCCACCGCATGGCCGGTCCGTCCTCCCAGATATCTGCTGGCCCCTTCCCCTCCTTGGCCCCGTTCTGCTCCACCAACCTGGCCAGCATCGTCAAGGTCACAGTGGGCTCGAGCGGTGGGGGGTTCCGAGAGAGGCCATCAACGTGCTGCAGGGTCTTTCCTGGCCTGTGCCTGATCTTGAAGTCATACTCCTGCAGTTTCATCGCCCATCTTGCATTCCTGCCCGTTAGCCCCGGGGTTGACATCAGCCATGTCAGGGGCTGGTGGTCTGTCACTAAGGTGAACTCCCTCCCCTGCAGGTACACCCTGAAATGTCCCACTGCCCATACGGCTGCCAACCCTTCTCCTATGTAGGAGCTGTACTGTGCCTCGGCCGAGTTGCAGCTTCTGCTCGCGTATGCCACTACCTTCTCCTCTCCTTCCACCTCCTGGCAGAGGATCCCCCCCATTCCTTGGCTGCTCCAGTCGGTGTAGAGTGTGAACGGCTGGTCAGCGGCGGTCAGCTTGAGTACTGTGGCGGTCTTCACTGCTGCCATCAGGTCCTGCAGTGCCCCTTTCTGCGCCTCTCCCCACTCCCACGCCTTGTCCTCTCGCAGCAGCCCATTCAACACCGCTGCTCTCTTGCTGAAGTTGGGCACAAAGCGCCTGTAGTAGCTCAAGAAGCCCAGCACCGCTCTCAGCCTTGACTTGTCCCTTGGCTCCCGCAGCCTGTCTAGGACTTCCACCTTGGCCTGTTGGATCCCTATCTGTCCCCCTTTCACCTCGTACCCCAGATACTGCACTGTCTGTTCCCCCCACTTGCACTTCTTCGGGTGGCAAGTGAGTCCCGCCGCTTCAATCGCCGCCAGGGTCCGCTCCACATCCTCTAGGTGCTGCTGCTCTGTGGTGCTGAAAATCACCACATCATCAATGTAGCAGGCCGCGCACTCCACTCCCCTCAGCACACTGTCCATGACCCTCTGGAACACTGCTGATGCGTTCCGAAGTCCAAACGGCATGTACAACCACTCGTACAGCCCGTCTGGCCCATGAAAGGCTGTCTTCCTGACGTCCTCCTCCCGGATCTTGATCTGGTTGAACCCCTGCCGCAGGTCCAGCGTCGTGAAGAGCACCCCCTCTGCCAATTTGTCAAAGATCTCCTCCGCCATCGGCATCGGGTACCTGTCTGCTACGGTGATTTTGTTGAGTGCCCTGTAGTCTCCACACATCCTCCTGCTCAGCACCTCCCCTGTCAGATCCCTCCTGGCTGCCACCACTGTCGGCGTAGCATATTCGGACTCCGATCTCCTGATCAGCCCCGCTTCCAGCAGCTCCTTGATCTTTTCCTTGCAGATCTCCTCATCTCCCGGCGGCATCTTCCTCCTGCGCTGGAATACTGGCTCAGTGCTGCTCAGCTTCAGCTCCATCTCCTTCACCTTGCACCTCCCCAGTTCCTGCATGGTGAAAGCAAAACACTTCCTGTTCCTGGCGAGCAGCTCCTGCATCCCCTCCCTCCCCTCTTTGCTCATTGCTTCTCCCACCACCCAGCTCTCCTCCTCCTTTTCCTTGCAGCTCCATGCACCCTGTGGCTCCGCCTCAACCCCTCCCCTTTCTTCCGCCTGCCCCCAGCTCACAACCGTCTCCCGCCACATTCGCTGGATCAGCCACCTCATCACGTGGCCATCCATGGCATTCCCCAGGGCCCTCCTCCTGTCTGCTTCACTTGCCCCAGGCGCTGCTGTTGCGTCTTCCCCGTACCCCATAGCTAGCTCCCGCTCCAGTGCCGTGGGCTCCTCCCATCTTCCCCTCTTGTGGTCATATACCATCCCTGGCCCAGGCTTCCCCGCCTCCCACTTGTACCCTGCTGCCCCCACATATGCCACCAGCGTGGGCAGAGCCCGCCTCTCCTGCCCCACCTGGTTGCACTGCTCGTGCCTGCTGTAGCTCTTGCGACACACCGGTGCTGGTGTCCGCCCTGGTGCTAGTATATCTTGCACCCTCCTTTCTGCCGCTCGCCTCACCCCCTTTATCTCTGCTTGCAGCTGCGCGGCAGGTACCACATTCTGCCAGTACATCCTGAGCCTATGCGCATAGGATCCCATCTTGGCCGCATCACAGCTCACCACTTCCCCCAGCTGCCCCCGGATTCTGTCCCTCACCAACCGGATTGGCTCCCTGCTATCTCCCTCCAGGTCTAGGTTTTCCAGCAAGTACGCCACCCTGCCCTGCCTCTCCTGCAGCCACCCCATAATTCGGAACAGGTCCTCCAGCAACCCTGTCCTGTCATCATCTCCTCCCCTGCCCTTGCCTGCCCAAGACACCCCTTGGCATTCCCACCCTGCCACCAGCAGATCCACCTGCCCCCAGCTCGCCACCTCTGCCTCACCTATCTCCGTCACGTCATGGACCATCCCCCCCATCGCCCTGCTGATCACTTCCTCACCCAGCAGCTCCGGAAACTCCTCTTGCAACTTCCTGGCATGGTGCTCCGCCATCCTCCTCACCCCGGGGTCCTTCTCCACATATGTCCACCTCTTCACTGCTATCCCATTCCTCACCACTGCGGACAGCCCTGCCCCTATCCCCCCAAACAGCTCCACCAGGTGGATGGGCTGCTGCCAGTCACTCTGCTCCCGTGGCTTGTCCATCCCCCTCATCTTGGGCGCCCTTCCCATCCCTGACAGCCCCCCCTGCTCCCCCTGCAGCCGTTCCCCCACGGCCTGATAAGCTCTCTTCGGCTCCACCTTCACAAATCGCACTGGCAGCTCTCCAAGCGGCCCTTCCCTTTTCCAGTACCTGGTCCTGAACTCGACCTTCTCCGTCCACGTGCATATGGTCATCCCCACCGCATACACCAGCTCGGTGCCCACTAACACGTCAAAGTCCTCCGACTCGGAAATCCCACACTTCATGCGGATCTTAGTCTCGTGTTCCCCCCCCGGCATCAGCGTCACTTCTATGGGCGTCCGCGTACACGGCATCCACTTCGGCTCCCCTCCCTCCGCTGTCATCACTAGCATCCCCTTCGCCACTTGCCTCTCTGGCGCCAGCAATCCCAGCCTCTCAGCCATCCCCTTGCCTAGCATCACGCTCTGTGCCCCCGTGTCTATGATGGCTGTCCTCACCTTCTCTCCCTCCACCTCCATGGCTCCCTTCTCTACCAGCAGCACCGAGGTCTGGCACGCCAGCCTCTCTTGAGGATGGCGCGCGGGGGCCGGCTCTAGGGCTGGTTCGGCTGGCTTCCCTCCCTTCACCTGTTCCTTCCTCCCCTGCTCCCGCCTGCCATCTCTGCCTCCGCTTCTCAACCCCATCTCTTCCCTCCCCCTCCACGCCATGAGAGCGCACTGCACATCCTGCTCCACCTCCTCTCCTCCCCAGTCCCCTGCGTACATCCCTGCCTCCGCCTCCCCCTTCAGCCCGGTCGCCCTTAGCTGTGCCTGCAACCTGCTAATCTACCGCTGCAGCTCCTCTGGCGACCTCCTACTACCCCCTTCCCTCTGGTAGCAATCCCTCGCCTCATGTCCCTGTCTCTTGCAGATCTCACACCTGGCTGCCTCTGGGCACTCCCGCTTCCTGTGCCCCGGCTTCCCACACCCGTCACAATTCTTACAATCCCTGCGCAGATGTCCTGGCTGTCCGCACCTGTGGCATGTCCTGGTGTCTGTCCCTGTCTCCCCCCGTCCCTCTGTCCTCCCTCCCCCTCCGGGTATCATTGCCGCCGCCCATGTGGGCCGCCTGCTCCTCTCCGCTGGCCTGGGGAGATACGCCTCAAACTTCCGCTGTGCCAGCTCCACTCTCTCTGCCAGAGCGAACACCTCCTCTAGGCTTGCGTCTGCTCCCAGCTCGTACACTCTCATCCTCAGCCCCCCTCCCAGGGCCTCGTCCAGGCCCCCTAGGAACTTGCTGATGAGAAGACTGCCGTCCGTGCACCTCACGTCCTCCGCCACATTGAGCAGCCTGTTGTAGTAGGTCAGCAGTGACTCAGTCCTACCCCTGCTGAATTCCTGGAACTCCCGTATGCGCTCTGCCGTGTGCCCTGGGAATTGCCGCTGCAACCGCTCCAAAAAGGCCTCGGTGGGATCCTCGCCGTACCTCCCCGCCCTCCACAGCAGCTCCTCCATCCTCATGCGGTAGAGCGTCTCGGCCTCTCCCTCCAAGGTGTTCGGCAGGCTCAAGAAGAAGTCCACTGGGTCCATAAGATGCCGGTCGCAGCGGTACCGCACATTCCCCACCTGCATGAGGTAGTTCTTGAGGGTCGGCCCTGCTCGTTGGTCGCCTGAGAATCTGGCGGGCACTTCCACTCGCGGGGTACCGGTGCCACCCCCCCGCCCTTCTCCCCATGATTCCCTGGCCCCTTCTGTCCGCCTCTCCTCTGGTCCCCTCTCCCGTGCCCTCTGCATGCCCTCTCTGGCCTCACGTGCCCGCTCTGCTCCCTGCGCCAAGGTTCCGCCCCCGGTCCTGCCCTCTTGGCGGCTCCCTCCGGACTCGTTCCGCCTCTCCCACGATCCTCCCCGCCCTTCTGTCCGTCCCCACTGCGGCGCCGGCGGCATGCGCGCCTCCCGCTCCTCCCACCTGCCCGCCTCGTGCCGCGGCCGCCTCTCTGCTGATGGGGACCACGTGTCCAGGTGTTCCTGCCAAGTGCGCGGCTGGCGCCGTTCCGGTGATCGCTGCTCCCCGTCGTGCTTCTCCCTCCGCGCGTGACGTCCAGCAGGCGAGCGGGACCAACTACTGTCTCTCCGCCCCCTCTGCCCCATCCCTCCTGGCGAGCGCCTGGTGCTGCTGCGCCCCCCTTGTTGCTGACCGTGCCGCTTCAGCAACGCAGGTTCCGCTGCCTGCCTCCTGTCACCCCGCGGCTGCCATCGTCCCGCCGACTGCGCGGCGCCGCCGCTCCACTCCCCTTGTTCCTGGCGCTCGCCGTGCGGGCGGAACTCGCCCACGCGCAACTCCTCGCGGCGCCGCTCTCTCTCCGGCGAGCGTGACCTCTCCGCCTTCCCCTTGCGGCGCGGGCTCGGCGCCTGCCCCGCTCGTTCGGTTCTTCCCGGTGTCCCTCGCTTCCGTAGTCTGGAGTCCGCCGCGTGCCGGCCCCCCCCGTGGGGACCCTCTCGCTCGCGAGCTCCCGACAGCAGGGCCTCCGACCTTGCAGCTGCCGCCTCACTCGTCTCCGCTTGACCCTCCGCCGGCGTGGCTTCCGCTTCGCCGGTTCCCCCTGGCTGCGCCACATCCGCCCCTTCCACATCCGCCTCCTCGTGCGACCCCTCTGGTTCCTCCTCCGCGTCCTCCGCGTCCTCCGCGTCTACCGCGTCCTCCGCGTCCTCCGCGTCTCGCTCCGGCGTCCGTTCCCGTGGCACATTGCGCCCCGAGTCCATTCCGTGCGCGTCGATCCCGCCATCCCGCTCTCGTCCGCGGGATCGTTCTGCAAAGCCCAGCCACCGCCCTCGCTCATCGCGGCGCCGTCCGCGCTCTTCCGGCGAGTGGAACGTCCCGGTGCCGCGGTGACTCCCGCCCTCCGCGCCCGTTCCGCGTACATTCTCTCGCGGCCACGCCTCTCGATCTGTCCGATCGACGCGGCCTCCGCCGCTCGCGCGTGCATCCATCGCTCGACCGTCACTCACAGCCGGAACCCGATCCGCGCGGAAAGCGGGGCGGCGCGGCGACCGCTCCCAGGATCGCCCACGTTCTCGGGACGGTTCACGACGCTCTCGCTCTTCCTCCCGACGGCTATACGCCCTACCCCAACGCAGTTCGTGCTTATCCATCTCGTTCGAGCCTAGCCTCCGTATGCCTTTCTAGTGTGTAATGAAAGAGTCTCGTCCCCCACCCCGTAGGTTCCCTCTTAGTGTCGTGCTGTCGTGTGCTAGAGCGTGAGACAACCAGATTCACTAGTTCGAGAGAATTACACACTAGAAAGCAAGGAGGGGATGGGAGGGAGCGGCCTATGACCCCACCCAAGGCTGCACGTTTCCACATGTGCGGCTCGGGTGGGGTGTTACCAGCTTTGGCAGGTTTCGCCTGTCGAGGCCTTTTCCCTCCCAAATCCAACCGCCACGATCCCATTTCCCCCCTTCTACACCCTTTCCCAACAGTAACCATATTTCCCCCTACACCCATTCCTACTTGTTGTTTCACATACATATAACTAACTCATCATCCTATCATTGTCATGTCAAGCCCACCCTGTTCCATCCTTCTACTGTTATTGCATATGCATCACATGCATATGCGGTGACATCCAATGGACCGGTTGGACCAACTGGCCTGTTGGTCCAATGGACCGGTTGGACCAACTGGCCTGCCCATTGGACCAACTGGCCTGTTGGTCCAGTGGACCGGTTGGACGAACTGCCCTGTTGGTCCAATGGACTGGTTTGACCAACTGGCCTGTTGGTCCAATGGACCGGTTGGACCAATTGGCCTGCTGGTCCAATGGACCGGTTCGACCAACTGGCTTGTTGGTCAAATCGACCGGTTGGACCAACTGGCCTGTTGGTCCAGTGGACCGGTTGGACCAACTGGCCTGTAGGTCCAATGGACCGGTTGGACCAACAGGCCTGTTGGTCCAGTGGACCGATTGGACCAACTGGCCTGTTGGTCCAATGGACCCATTGGACCAACTGACCTGTTGGACCAGTGGACCGGTTGGACCAACTGGCCTGCTGGTCCAATGAACCCGTTGGACCACCTGGCCTGCTGGTCCAATGGACCGGTTTGACGAACAGGCCTGTTGGTCCAATGGAACGGTTGGACCAACTGGCATGTTGGTCCAATGGACCGGTTGGACGAACTGGCCTGTTGGTCCAGTGGACCGATTGGACCAACTGGCCTGCCCATTGGACCAACTGGCCTGTTGGTCCAGTGGACCGGTTGGACCAACTGGCCTGCTGGTCCAATGGACTGGTTGGACCAACTGGCCTGCTGGTCCAATGGACCGGTTGGACGAACTGGCCTGTTGGTCTAAAGGAACGGTTGGACCACATGGCCTGCTGGTCCAATGGACTGGTTGGACCAACTAGCCTGTTGGTCAAATGGACCGGTTGGACCAACTGGCCTGTTGGTCCAGTGGACCGATTAGACCAACTGGCCTGCCCATTGGACCAACTGGCCTGTTGGTCCAGTGGACCGATTGGACCAATTGGCTAGTTGGTCCAATGGACCTGTTGGACCAACTGGCCTGTTGGTCCAGTGGACCGGTTGGACCAACTGGCCAGTTGGTCCAGTGGACCGGCTGGACCAACTAACCTATTGGTCCAATGGACCGGTTGGACCAACTGGCCTGTTGGTCCAATGGACCGGTTGGACGAACTAGCCTGTTGGTCCAATGGACTGGTTTGACCAACTGGCATGTTGGTCCAATGGACCGGTTGGACCAATTGGCCTGCTGGTCCAATGGACCAGTTCGACCAACTGGCCTGTTGGTCCAGTGGACCGGTTGGACCAACTGGCCTGTTGGTCCAATGGACCGGTTGGACCAACTGACCTGTTGGTCCAATGGACCGGTTGGACCAACTTGCCTGTTGGTCAAATGGACCTGTTGGACCAACTGGCCTGTTGGTCCAGTGTACCGGTTGGACCAACTGGCCTGTTGGTCCAATGGACCGGTTGGACCAACTGGCCTGTTGGTCCAGTGGCCCGATTGGACCAACTGGCCTGCCCATTGGATCAACTGGCCTGTTGGTCCAGTGGACCGGTTGGACCAACTGGCCTGTTTGTCCAATGGACCGGTTGGAAGAACTGGCCTGTTGGTCCAGTGGACTGATTGGACCAACTGGCCTGCCCATTGGACCAACTGGCCTGTTGGTCCAGTGGACCGGTTGGACCAACTGGCCTGCTGGTCCAATGGACCGATTGGACCAACTGGCCTGTTGGTCCAATGGACCCATTGGACCAACTTGCCTGTTGGTCTAGTGGACTGGTTGGACCAACTGGCCTGCTGGTCCAATGGACTGGTTGGACCAACTGGCCTGTTGGTCCAATGGACCGGTTGGACCAACTGGCCTGTTGGTTCAATGGACCGGTTGGACCAGCTGGCCTGTTGGTCCAATGGACCGGTTGCACCAACTGGCCTGTTGGTCCAATGGACCGCTTGGTCCAACTGGCCTGTTGGTCCAATGCCAGTTGGACCAACTGGCCTGTTGGTCTGCTGGACAGGTTGGACCAACTGGCCTGTTGGTCCAATGGACCGGTTGGACCAACTGGCCTATTGGTCAAATGGACCGGTTGGACCAACTGGCCTGCCCATTGGACCATCTGGCCTGTTGGTCTAGTGGACCGATTGGACCAACTGGCCTGTTGGTCCAATGGACCCATTGGACCAACTGACCTGTTGGTCCAGTGGACCGGTTGGACCAACTGGCCTGCTGGTCCAATGAACCCGTTGGACCACCTGGCCTGCTGGTCCAATGGACCGGTTTGACGAGTAGGCCTGTTGGTCCAATGGAACGGTTGCAACAACTGGCATGTTGGTCCAATGGACCGGTTGGACGAACTGGCCTGTTGGTCCAGTGGACCGATTGGACCAACTGGCCTGCCCATTGGACCAACTGGCCTGTTGGTCCAGTGGACCGGTTGGACCAACTGGCCTGCTGGTCCAATGGACCGGTTGGACCAACTGGCCTGCTGGTCCAATGGACCAGTTGGACGAACTGGCCTGTTGGTCTAAAGGAACGGTTGGACCACATGGCCTGCTGGTCCAATGGACTGGTTGGACCAACTGGCCTGTTGGTCAAATGGACCGGTTGGACCAACTCGCCTGTTGGTCCGATGGACCGGTTAGACCAACTGACCTGTTGGTCCAGTGGACCGGTTGGACCAACTGGCCTGTTGGTCCAGTGGACTGGTTGGACCAACTGGCCTGTTGGTCCAATGGACCGGTTGGACCAACTGGCCTGTTGGTCTAGTGGACCGATTAGACCAACTGGCCTGCCCATTGGACCAACTGGCCTGTTGGTCCAGTGGACCGGTTGGACCAACTGGCCAGTTGGTCCAGTGGACCGGCTGGACCAACTAACCTATTGGTCCAATGGACCGGTTGGACCAACTGGCCTGTTGGTCCAATGGACCGGTTGGACGAACTGGCCTGTTGGTCCAATGGACTGGTTTGACCAACTGGCATGTTGGTCCAATGGACCGGTTGGACCAATTGGCCTGCTGGTCCAATGGACCGGTTCGACCAACTGGCCTGTTGGTCCAGTCGACCGGTTGGACCAACTGGCCTGTTGGTCCAATGGACCGGTTGGACCAACTGACTTGTTGGTCCAATGGACCGGTTGGACCAACTTGCCTGTTGGTCAAATGGACCTGTTGGACCAACTGGCCTGTTGGTCCAGTGGACCGGTTGGACCAACTGGCCTGTTGGTCCAGTGGCCCGATTGGACCAACTGGCCTGCCCATTGGATCAACTGGCCTGTTGGTCCAGTGGACCGGTTGGACCAATTGGCCTGTTTGTCCAATGGACCGGTGGGACGAACTGGCCTGTTGGTCCAGTGGACCGATTGGACAACCTGGCCTGCCCATTGGACCAACTAGCCTGTTGGTCCAGTGGACCGGTTGGACCAACTGGCCTGCTGGTCCAATGGACGGATTGGACCAACTGGCCTGTTGGTCCAATGGACCCATTGGACCAACTTGCCTGTTGGTCTAGTGGACTGGTTGGACCAACTGGCCTGCTGGTCCAATGGACTGGTTGGACCAACTGGCCTGTTGGTCCAATGGACCGGTTGGACCAACTGGCCTGTTGGTTCAATGGACCGGTTGGACCAGCTGGCCTGTTGGTCCAATGGACCGGTTGCACCAACTGGCCTGTTGGTCCAATGGACTGGTTGGTCCAACTGGCCTGTTGGTCCAATGCCGGTTGGACCAACTGGCCTGTTGGTCTGCTGGACAGGTTGGACCAACTGGCCTGTTGGTCCAATGGACCGGTTGGACCAACTGGCCTGTTGGTCAAATGGACCGGTTGGACCAACTGGCCTGTTGGTCCAGTGGACTGGTTGGACCAACTGGCCTGTTGGTCCAGTGGACTGTTTGGACCAACTGGCCTCTTGGTCCAATGGACCGGTTGGACCAACTGGCCTGTTGGTCCAGTGGACCGATTGGACCAACTGGCCTGCCCATTGGACCAACTGGCCTGTTGGTCCAGTGGACCGATTGGACCAACTAGCTTGTTGGTCCAATGGACCCGTTTAACCAACTGGCCTGTTGGTCTAGTGGACCGGTTGGACCAACTGGCCTGCTGGTCCAATGGACTGATTGGACCAACTTGCCTGTTGGTCCAATGGACCGATTGGACCAACTGGCCTGTTGGTTCTATGGACCGGTTGGACCAGCTGGCCTGTTGGTCCAATGGACCAGTTGCACCAACTGGCCTGTTGGTCCAATGGACCGGTTGGTCCAACTGGCCTGTTGGTCCAATGCCGGTTGGACCAACTGGCCTGTTGGTCTGCTGGACAGGTTGGACCAACTGGCCTGTCGGTCCAGTGGACCGGTTGGACCAACTGGCAAGTTGGTCCACTGGACCGATTGAACCAACAGGCCTATTGGTCCAGTGGACCGATTGAACGAACTGGCCTGTTGATCCAGTGGACAGGCTGAACCAACTAACCTGTTGGTCCAGTGGACCGGCTGGACCAACTAACCTGTTGGTCCAATGGACCGGTTGGACCAACTGGCCTGTTGGTCCAATGGACCGGTTGGACCAACTGGCCTGCCCATTGGACCAACTGGCCTGTTGGTCCAGTGGACCGGTTGGACGAACTGGCCTGTT